AGCCCGCGCATGCTCGCGCGCACAAAGACCAACTACTTTGGCGCGACCGACGGGGGCCGAGGTGGCGCTGACCGCTGGGCACATCCCAACGGGTACTTCACTGCGAGTCGGCGACATTGGCGGGCGCGGTATCATAGCAACGCCGACAACGGTAGACACGATGATGATAGCAGCGATGCTGGTAACGATGTTGACAACGACGAAGGCGCGGCCAGTGCGGGCGCCAATGCTGATCACGCCAACGACAATGACGGCGTTCTCGCGTCGGTGATGGAGGTTTTGGAAAGAGCTTGACATGCGCGCGCGGCCGACGCGCATGGCCCGCATGATGTTTCTTGACACGGATCGTGCCCCGCCCAGCACGCGCGCAAGGGCGCGCGAATGATGTCGGCATGCGGCGCGAGAGGCCCGTTTGGCAGAAGTCCATGCAGATCTTGAAACACCTTTGGTGTTCCAAGGATTTCGCAAAATCGCGAGCGCACGCTGACTTGAAAATTGATATTGCACAACCATGTGTTGTATTATGGTTTGCCGACACCTCGGTTTGGAAATCGCTACGAAACGAAAGATTGTTTCATTTGAAGGTTTTGGCATGCGCGCGACACGACGCGCGCGCGTGCACTTCGTCTCGTTTTTTACAAATGGTTCTCGCGACGGCACGCGCGCAAGGACGTTCGAACAATTTCGACATGTGGGCGCACGAAGCCCGTTTGGTAGCACGTTTTATGAAATGTCGAAGAACTGATGCTTTCTTAAGAATTCGCAAGAGCGCGCGCACAAGTTGTTTATTGAAAATCGGTGTTGCGAAATCCTGTGTTCTGATTTGCTTTTGAACACTCGATTCTGAAATTCTTACGAAACAAGTTCTTACGAAACCGAGGGTTGAAAGGGTTTCGGCATGCGCGCGTGACGACGAGCGCGTGTGCAGTTCGTCCTTTCCTGTTGCAAAAGGTTCCTGGAAACTTATGATTTTTGATGAACGAGTGCGCGCGAATAGTTTGTTTGCAGAAGGTGGCGGGGGGGGAGGATACTGGCTCGGTTGGGATGGTATGAACTCAGATTTGGGATGGAGGATGGGGCAGAACCATATGCAAATTGCATTACGAAAAGGGGGGGTGATAATCCCGGGGTGGGTAGACCCTATTCTCATTGTAGAAAGGCGACTCTAAGCAAGGCGGCGACGGGGCGGCGACAGAACGACAGGCAGACCCAGACGACTGGCGGCGACAGCGACGAGGCGGTGACGGATCAGCGAAGGCAGCCACATAGCTGCCAGACCGGCTGTCAGGCCCAAAAGACGGGCGGTCACCAAGCGGCGCCGGGGCGGCGACGGAGGCCACATAGCCGCCAGACAAGGACGCCAAGTTCCTTAGGAAAAAACTTCACATCCCAAAATGCAACCACTGCTTGGGGAAACTGTATGAACAGATGCGGGTGTATACATTTTTATATAAGTAGAGTCACGCACGTATGGAAATGGATGTATACAGGCTGATATATTACACAAATGTGTATATATATATGTATATATGTATATATACATATATGTATACATACATACACACATACATACATACATGCATGCATGCATACATACATACATACATACATACATACCTGGATACATGCATACATACATACATGCATACATACATACATATGCATATACATAAACATAAACATAAACATAAACATATACATATACATATACATATACATATACATATACATATAAATATACATATACATACATACATGCATGCATGCATGCATACATACATAGATACAGAAATCATGCATGCATACATACATACACACATACACACAAACATGCATCGACACATACATACACTCATACATACATAGGTAGGTATCTAAATATACGTAGTTGAATACATATATACATGTATCCTTATATACCTATATACACACACACAAAATGTGCATCATCCATGTAGTGAATACCTGGTTACGTTCGGATTCCTGTGCTTCTCCCTCGTCTGTACATTATACATATAGAGATCCCTCTATCTCTTTCTCTCTCTCTCTCTCTCTCTCTCTCTCTCTCTCTCTCTTTCTCTATGTATACCTCTCTCTCTCTAGTTGTATGTGTATATGTATATATGTACAGATACATACGTATGTGTGTATGTCTGTGTGTATGTATATACATATATGTGTGTGTGTGTTGTATCGTTCGCCGCTAAGAATCTCACCTAGACATCCTGACCTGTAAAACACGACAGCGAAGCTGCGCTACAGGGTGAGCAACAGAGAATAGCATGACGGCAGCCGAGCCGCAGAGAGTCCCACGCGTACAAGGTTGTCACAAGCCATGAAATTACTAGGAAGCGCGCCAGAGAAATGAAACGGGCCCCGTTAGTCAAGGCCCGAAGCCAGAACAGAATGAGACACCCAAAAAGGCAGAGGACGAGGAGGAGGAAGAAAAGGCCGGCGCCACCAGAAAAGAAAAACTGCGTGCCGCAGGAGCGACAAGACAAGGAAGGTCATTGCCTCGTGTCACTGCGCGGCGACACCGCGCCACACATGAACCCACCTAGGCGGCAAGCGGGCAAGC